CCCCAAAACCCCAAAACCCCAAAACCCCAAAACCCCAAAACCCCATTGCTCTCCCTGATTGTATATTTTAAATTTTCTAGTAAAGATGCCTAGAGAGATTATCACTTGCCAAGTTGGACAATGCGGAAACCAAAGTAAGTATAACGACCCTCATAGAGCTTGAATTAACCTTTTAACATAGTCGGGATGGAGTTCTGGAAGCAACTCTGTATGGAACACGGAATCAACCCAGAAGGAATCCTTGAAGAATATGCGCAAAATGGAGAGGACAGGAAGGATGTCTTCTTTTACCAGGTAAATTACCCTAAAAATTGGGTTAATTAGTTTTAGGCTGATGATGAACACTACGTGCCAAGAGCTGTTCTGATAGACTTAGAACCTAGAGTTATTAATGGTATCCAGAAGTCCCCATATGCCAGTCTGTATAACCCAGAAAATATTTTCATTTCAAAGCATGGAGGTGGTGCAGGAAATAACTGGGGAAGAGGTTATTGTGATGCTGAAAAAGTTCAAGAGGAGATTATTGAGATGATCGATAGGGAAGCTGATGGCTCAGATAGTTTAGAAGGATTTGTATTAACCCATTCTATTGCTGGAGGAACAGGATCAGGCTTTGGATCTTACTTATTAGAGAGACTTAATGATCATTATCCAAAGAAACTTATTCAAACCTACTCTGTTTTCCCAAATGAGAATGATGTTGTTGTTCAGCCATACAATTGTCTTTTGAGTATGAAAAGATTAATCTTGAATGCTGACTGTGTTGTTGTGCTTGACAACACCGCTTTAACTAGTATCGCAGTTGATAGACTAAAACTTCTTCAACCTACTTTCCCACAAATAAATTCGATTGTTTCTACTGTTATGGCAGCCTCTACAACAACATTAAGATACCCTGGATACATGAATAATGACCTTGTCGGTCTTATTGCAAGTTTAGTCCCAACTCCAAGATGCCATTTCTTGATGACTGGTTATACTCCTTTATCTCTGATAGATCAGAAAGTGACTTCTATCAGAAAAACTACAGTATTGGATGTGATGCGCCGTCTGCTCCAGACCAAGAATATTATGGCTACTGGAGCTATCAAGAAGGGAGCTTACATGTCCATTCTTAATATCATTCAAGGAGATGTTGACCCAACTCAAGTTCATAAGTCTTTACAAAGAATCAGAGAGCGTAAATTAGCTAATTTCATACCTTGGGGACCTGCTTCAATTCAAGTTGCATTATCCAAGAAGTCTCCTTACATGGAAAGTGGTCATAAGGTTTCAGGACTGATGCTTGCTAATCATACTGGAATCAGATCCATTTTCAAAGTGATTTACGATCAATACAGAACATTCAGAAAGAGAGATGCATACATGAATATCTTCAAGCAGACCAAAATTTTCGAAGATAATCTTGACGAATTCGATAGCTCTGATGAGGTAGTCAAAAGTTTGATTGAAGAATATGCGGCTGCTGAAAAGATGGACTATATAAACTGGGGAAATGACGATGACGATATGGGCTATGATCCAAGAGCTCCTCCAAATTTTAGCTCAATGCAATAATTATTGTTGAGTTTATTAAATTCTCAGGATTGCTTTCAAAAACCATCGATTTATTAGGGGTTTTGGGGTTTTGGGGTTTTGGGGTTTTGGGG